ATTATTGTTATAATACTTATCTGTTTTATTTATATATCTACCAGTAATTCACTTATGAATTATATAATAGTTTTATATTAAATGTTATTATGTTACTCAATTAATTCCACGCCATCCCCTCCCTATCGTATGGCTAGGGCTAACTTTGTGCTAGATTATTTTTTTGGTTAATTGCTTAATATATTTTTAGTATACACGCTCTCAATGAGCAATAATTACAAGCAATGATTATATGCATAACTTATACGTTGTATGGGAATTAACTGTAAATTCAATTATAAGTTTTGATTTATAAATCAGTTATAATTTCATTGTATAAAATGTTATTATTTTCGTATTAACTGAGCATTATAGTAATATTGGTGTAATAATTTGATGTTATTTTGTGTCGATCCCATCCCGGCTTATCAATCCATCAGCCGTTGAAACAATCAAATTATGTTAAATAAAATCAAAAATAGCTTTGAATTATATGTAAAAATCTAATATCTTATGCTAATTATGTATTGGAGTTAATGTATAATCAAATTAGCTGTCCATTAGGTTGGGATGAAAACTGTGTATTATTTCATTGATTGATATATTAGGAGAAAATATTATTTTATTTATGCATTTAGATCAGCCCTCTCTCTCTCTCTCTCTCTCTCCCTTTTGATTAAGTTTTTATTTTAAATTTTAAATTGAAGTCCTATTAAATAATAGTTAAATAATAAATTCATTTTGATTTTCATCTAGCATTATGTACTGTAATGATGACTAATTATCTGAATTATTAAAATCAATTTTGTATACATTTTGTGTGCCCGTAGTTATGTTGCGGTATATTCTTACTGTACAATCATTTTTCATATATAATTCGTTATTGAAGTCAAAAACAATTCATTATATGAATTCACCCCCGATTCTGACGGACTATCACTCATATGAGAGAGAGAGAGAGAGAGGGAGAGAGAGAGAGAGAGACCCAACTATAGCTGTATATTTCAATAGACAAGTAATGAATTGGGAATTAAATTATTATAGCATTTTTTATATATGATCGCATAGTACAGTATAATACCATAAATGTATGGCATTAACAAAACAAATAACAAATACTTATAATAATTATAATAGTAATACTGATTAATGAATATCCGTTAATGTATATCATGCTGTCCACCCACCCCCACTGTATATAGACTCACCATATATACCCTGCTCCAAATTGGACCTGATAGCCCATCTGACATATCTAAACCACCGCCATCACCATCACAATAGCCAACGACATCATAATAGCAGTTCCGGTGGACACCATCACCACAATAGCCACCATAACCACCATAAGAGGTCCGGACACAACTCAAGCGCCCAGTCGGCAGCGGCGGCCACTGCGGCCAGTCTACTGCACCGGCATCACAACGGCTCGTCCATTAGTATTACCAACGCGAACAACCCACGGGATGTGGTGGTGGTGAGGGTATTACCAGCCCAAGGATGTAGAGGGTATAGCGGTCGTTACCGGTAAGGGTGCAGTGGGGACAACCCGAGTAGCGGTGACCATACATCTCGATTCCTAACTGTCCATTTATGAGCGATGTAATAATTACCGGGCTCGTTTTATAGGCTACTACCACCGCTGTAATGCTTAACGGGGCAAACATTAGCCACACGCTAGCGGGTACGGGATCATCCCTGTCCCTGTCAGCCACGTCAGCGGCATTACACTCGAACAATAACATGTCGACCACCAGTTCCTCATCGCCTCAATCGGCCGATTACTACACCGAAAGCTTACGGCGCCGTAAAGTACATAAATGCGATTTCGACGGATGCGAAAAGGTCTACACCAAGAGCTCCCACCTAAAAGCCCACAAACGTACCCACACCGGTATGTCTTGCATCCATTTACCTGTTATAGATTTTAATTAATATAATATTCAATCACTAATTAAGTTAACAGTAAATAAGTGTTTGTTTGACATGTTGTCAAAAATTAGTTGCATAGTAACCCATGTTGTCTATTTAAGTAGTATGTAGTTGATTATTTATGTATTAATTAACCATGTAATAGTTTGTTACAAGATTTAATAAGTATAGCAAGGCAAAAGTAAAAAATTATTAAATCTTTTGATATTTCTCTACCCTTTTATGGAGGTTCAAGTGCCGGGCTATAGGCGCTCTCGTGTACTTACAAAATAACATCAAATAATAACGCTATTTTCAAATCAAAAAACAATTAACTTAAAGTAAAAACCAAAAGAATAACAAATAGTGAATTAGCTCTCGAAACAAAAACGCTTGTGTATGTGTGTGTGGACCACTCCCATCCCATGCCATAGCATACCTGTCCAAAATTGGATGTTTATCTCACACTCATTCGCATTCAATGTCTAATAAAAATTCAGTTAATTTCCAAAGTTTTTATTATATTTTTCAGATTAAATCATATAATCGTATAATAACTTCGATAGTTATATATCTCCCAAAAATTAGTTTCAATTAATATTTTTATTTATAATAAAAACTGATTGATGTATTGATACCCGGGACACACTTTCCCATATAATTTATCACTCATATCCTGATTACTCGCACACACTTTCACTCGCACCCTCTCGACCGCTAAATACCTGTAATAATAATTAATTGATATTTTAATTATTAATTTATATTTCACATGAATTCACAAACTTTTTCTCTGACGCCTACTATGAGTAGTGAACCGTTTATTTAGTATATATTTTATGTTTTAATTTATTTTAATGAATTTATGGGCGGTTTTCGGTTTGATTTTCAAATTTAAATTATAAAATAATTTGCAATCAAAAAAGTTATGCTAATAGCTCTCAGGTCTCTCTCTCTCTCTCTCTCTCTCATGATTTTCATCTATACATTAATTGCATTCTGCGTTAAAAAACTTAAATGAAAATTTTTGTTTTATTATTGAATTTTTTGTTTATATGCACTATTCATTGAAATTACATTTTATGGTTGTATGGGGTTTAGAATCAGTGAACATAAGACATACCAAACCCATTACCACCCAATACCTCCCCATCCCTGTGTGCGCAACGATTGAGTTTTGGCCCCAAATCTATTGAATCTAAAGTATTTAATTAACTTTTTTTATTGTCTCTAAATTTTTCTTTGCTCACAACATATGATTCGTATTATTATTATTCAAATATATTTTTAATATATAAATGCAGGGAATAATCGTCCGGTTATATCCCATAAGCAAACACATGCTATACTATTCTCAATATAATCATAAATTTAACTTTAAAATACGTTTTATGAACCCAAAGTAAATTAGATAAGAGAGCATATCACATAATTAGCGAGTCTGTAAACCCAGTCTGAAAAGAGAACTTCAAAAAATATAAACATTAATATCTCGTATAATATATCATTTGAATGTCGGTGTCTTTTGTCACAAATTAAAGGGTCAGTCACAGAGTAGGTACGCAAACATTTAATTCTTAGTTACTAGTATCTAAAGGAGTTATCCAAACTTTCTTGGATAGCAGGCTAACTTTTTAATTGTATTTATGTGTTTTTGTTTTGAATACCTCTCCCATACATTGTTGTTGTTGTATAACATAGGCGTTGAGATAAACGATAAGAATTTGAGATAAAAAACATTATTTTCCACAACTATTTGTTTTGTTAAGATTTGTTGTGACAATTCATATCAGTCCCTCACACACCCGGTTGTGGGGCAGTAGTTTGTCATGTGATGTATGAGAGTGAGATAGAGAGGTTGTAGGGTAAGGGGATACGTAACACAGTATGTACACCCCCAGCCCCATGTGGTAATTGGTGTGTAATTAGCCCATAGATAGTAGTGTTGTTTTTAATGTAATGGCTTTCATAGAGAAAAATATCACTTTATTCCTGGAATTCAATAATAGTTTTGACAACTTTTTTGTATTTCGCAAACCTTTTTTAGATCCCATTCCCCTATTGAAATGCCTAAAACCTGCGGTGAAGTTCTACCACTTAACCCCTTTTCCATCCCTGTGCCCAATACGAGTGTATATTTTTTTAATATTCAATTCTTATGGGATGAATGCAATTACTGGTGAATTGTATAAGAGTTTTGTGTTTTTGGTTTTCGCTTATCATTTGTGGGATAATCTCAACATAAATCGGGTTTTGTTTTGTGTTTTTGTCTATTGTTTAAGTCGTCTCTCTCTCTCTCTCTCTCTCTCTCTCTCCCTCTCTCCCTCTCTCTCTCTCCTCGAGTGTTACTATTTATCAAGTGTTTAGAAACACACCTCCACTTCCCATCCCATACCCCATCACTGCTATTATAAAAATATTATTATTGTTATAATACTTATCTGTTTTATTTATATATCTACCAGTAATTCACTTATGAATTATATAATAGTTTTATATTAAATGTTATTATGTTACTCAATTAATTCCACGCCATCCCCTCCCTATCAATTATTGTTATAATACTTATCTGTTTTATTTATATATCTACCAGTAATTCACTTATGAATTATATAATAGTTTTATATTAAATGTTATTATGTTACTCAATTAATTCCACGCCATCCCCTCCCTATCATCGTATGGCTAGAGCTAACTTTGTGCTAGATTATTTTTTTGGTTAATTGCTTAATATATTTTTAGTGTACACGCTCTCAATGAGCAATAATTACAAGCAATGATTATATGCATAACTTATACGTTGTATGGGAATTAACTGTAAATTCAATTATAAGTTTTGATTTATAAATCAGTTATAATTTCATTGTATGAAATGTTATTATTTTCGTATTAACTGAGCATTATAGTAATATTTGTGTAATAATTTGATGTTATTTTGTGTCGATCCCATCCCGGCTTATCAATCCATCAGCCGTTGAAACAATCAAATTATATTAAATTAAATCAAAAATAGCTTTGAATTATATGTGAAAATCTAATATCTTATGCTAATTATGTATTGGAGTTAATGTATAATCAAATTAGCTGTCCATTAGGCTGGGATGAAAACTGTGTATTATTTCATTGATTGATATATTAGTAGAAAATATTATTTTATTTATGCATTTAGATCAGCCGAGAGAGAGAGAGAGGGAAAACTAATTCAAAAATAAAATTTAAAATTTAACTTCAGGATAATTTATTATCAATTTATTATTTAAGTAAAACTAAAAGTAGATCGTAATACATGACATTACTACTGATTTAAGAAATCACACGAAATATTTGTATTAAATAGAGAGAGAGAGAGAGAGAGAGAGAGAGAGAGAGTCCGGAAGAGTAGTTTCTCTCTCACTCTTCACACACTTCTGGCACACATTTATTTAGTGTTTAATTTATTTTATTATTTATTTTATTTATGTGTTTTTGTGTTGCATTTAACGCTCTCATCGAAAGCCTGTCCCGTATATCATCCCCAAAGCCATTCATACCTGTAAAACACAACACAATACAATACCTGCGATAACGTAGTAGAAAAAGATTTATCACTTTTCTCGAGACATTAATGTTTCGGTGGAGGGTGTGGGTGCCAACCATCCCGACCCCACCCGACACAACCCAGCTTTTTATCTCCCTTTACCATCAATTCATATTTTATTCCCTGTTCATATTAATAAAGTTTACTGATTATTGATTGGCAAACAGTTAATAAAACTATAGTTACTGTATATTATTAAGACGTTACTATTTAGTGATTAATATCCATTAAATAACTACTGATTTTTGTCAATTAAAGCTAATTTATTAATATTTTGCACTAGTTTTGCAATCCCTGTCCACTAATACAATAAAAACGTTTTTATAGAAATAAATGTCTTAATGAATTTAATATTTATGTCAATTGTTTTAAATGGTAACATACTCCGGCAGTGTTACATTGTATGATATATTGTAGGCCAGTGTTAGTCACTGCACATCCCTGTCCCCCAGCTCTCACACCCATTATACGTGTACCGGAATGGGGTCCCAAAGAATTGATCATTTCTTACCATTCATTTTGCTTTTTATTTATTGTGTTAAATGATGAGAGAAATAAATTATAACTCATTTTATATAACACTTTATATAACACACTAATAATCATTACATTGTTTTTTCATGTGAACTAATTATTCGTAAACGAAATACAATTTTTTCATTTCGTATATAATTAACATTTTATATATAATTATATCTCATATATACGCTATATTTGTATTTAATGTCTGTATTGTTATTTAATTTTTTATTTAGTTTTTCTTTGTCTCTCTCATTGTATTCAACGAGTGATTTAAGACATTATATTTCTGTATTATATTTGCAATTATGATCGCAATTATAATAATTATTAATAGATTTAAATTAGAGGTCCAGTACTGGCATGTGAAGGGCCAGTATTTTAGTATGAGTTATACGTTGATTAATAAGACAATACATATCTTGAACATAAAAGGTTAAAACCCTGTTCATATATTATAAAAAGCTGTTAATTACTTATAATTATGAAAATCATATCAAGAATATTCCGATTATTTTTAGTTTGTTTAATATTTAAATAATGTTAAGTAATGTGATGAACACATGAGTATAATTTAAACCTTTATTCACTTGTTTTTAAGTTTTTATTTTTATACATAATTTAATAATTTATGAATAAAATAAAAACGAATAAAGACCAGTTTATTTTGCTTTGCTTTTAAAATTTACGCTAATTTAAAATGTTTGCACATCAGTCACCGATTTATATGGAAGGCAAAATTCGGGTGTGATATAGTTTGCAAACTTAATTGACAGTAATTTTATGAGATTATCGCTGATATAGTTTTGATCCATATATTAGCGTTTAATTTAATCAAAAACTAATTTATTATAATTTTTCGTTTTTGTTGTTTCGTTTTCAACAGCAAAAATAAAAATCAAGTTTTCGCTTACGATTAAGCTGGTCATTAAAGTTTGTTATAAAGGTTATTGTAAATATATCCATTATTTATTTTGTGTCAGAGTAGTTTTATAAAAATTAACTCACATTTACTGAATTCATTCATCACTTACTACACTATTTCATTGATTATCTGACATTACAATAGATTTAACGGAGTTTTCAATTAATAAATGATACATAAAATTGAGTTATTCTTAGAGAGAGAGAGATGATCAATTTTATCATTAATACAATTAGTAGATGTGTCTACTGAGCGAAAATGTAATCATTTTTTATTAAAATAATTGTTTTCTTTGTTTTACTCTAATTTTTATAAGATTTATATTTCGTTCAGATTTAGTATTATTATTACATTTCCTGGTTTGTTTGTGTTGACACATGAATTATTAAATACTTATTTTATTTTTGCTTATTTCTGGTCAAATAAAACGAAACGAAAATTTTAAATGCGATTAAATTTTACAAACGTGTAGTCAGTGGCTAAATATACCTTCCGTTTTAAGCCCACATATAGTTTGCAAACTTAATTGACAGTAATTTTATGAGATTATCGCTGATATAGTTTTGATCCATATATTAGTGTTTAATTTAATCAAAAACTAATTTATTATAATTTTTCGTTTTTGTTGTTTCGTTTTCAACAGCAAAAATACAAATCAAGTTTTTGCTTACGATTAAGCTGGTAATTAAAGTTTGTTATAAAGGTTATTGTAAATATATCCATTATTTATTTTGTGTCAGAGTACTTTTATAAAAATTAACTGACATTTACTGAATTCATTCATCACTTACTACACTATTTCATTGATTATCTGACATTACAATAGATTTAACGGAGTTTTCAATTAATAAATGATATATAAAATTGAGTTATTCTTAGAGAGAGAGAGAGAGAGAGAGAGAGAGAGAGAGAGAGAGATAATCAATTTTATCATTAATACAATTAGTAGATGTGTCTACTGAACGAAAATGTAATCATTTTTTATTAAAATAATTGTTTTCTTTGTTTTACTCTAATTTTTATAAGATTTATATTTCGTTCAGATTTAGTATTATTATTACATTTCCTGGTTTGTTTGTGTTGACACATGATTAACGACACTTACAGTATATTATGGACAGGTAGTTTGGGACGAGCATTTGTTAGAGTGCATATTATACACATAACTTTGGAAAGTATTTAATTAATCGAAATTAATTTAATTTAAGTTTTTTCCAACTTATTTCGTATTCAGACAAACATTATTTACTCTCAAATTAGACATAGTTTTGTGAGTTTTATAGTTTAAAAACTTTTTTCTTAACTCCAATTCATGTCATTAGTTATCTCTGGAAATAAGTGTCTTTTCAAATGAAATATCATTGACTTTATAGAGCATATTATAGACACCCGGCCCGAGGGGTTCAGTACCTGAGCTCATCTCAAACATGAAATACTTTTTTCTGGTATTAAAATTCAATGAGATTTCTATTAATATATCGTTTTTGATATATTCCTTACGATTTTTAGTGCCAAAACAGTCGTTGAATTAATTATACATTTTGTGTGTGTTTTGTCTTATCTTTTATTTATTTTTGAATTTAAAGAGAGATTTAATTTTTATATGCGTTTTGTTTTGTGTGCGAAAAATATATGTTATAATTAATAATAAATTTTTTGCGCTCATATTATGAGTCCAAAACGCTCGCAGAATATCTAATCGTTTGTGTGTTTGCCCTAAAAATAATGGTTTTATTTATACTTTTTATTATAAATTATTTTTATATTCCCTTTATATACAGTTTTTTATTCCGGGGAATGTATGGTTTGGTTTTAGGAGTTTTGATATAATTTTGAAAATTATTTCATAAATTTTAAGCAACTTTTTTATGCAATTGATAGCTAACTCTTAAAAGTGTCTTAAGATTGCATTTTTGAGTGGAAGGCCCTCCGAATATATAGATATCATAAGTGTTTTTGAATATAAATTTTAAAATAAATTGCTTTATGTATAACTCTCTCTCTCTCTCTCTCTCTCTCTCTCTAAGAATAACTCAATTTTATGTATCATTTATTAATTGAAAACTCCGTTAAATCTATTATAATTGTATTAATGATAAAATTGATTATCTCTCTCTCTCTCTCTCGCGTTAATGGACTTAATTTATTGCACTTTCATATGCTATCAAATATTAAGTAGAAAAAAGACATAACTCTACATAACTTTGATCTCACAAAATAAGTATGAAATTTTTATTTCAAAAATTATCAAAAATAAAATTAAAAACAAAATCATTTATGGTACTCTCGTTTCGCACCGACACGTACAAAATATAACATTTCCTATATATTAATTAAATGTATGTTTTTGAAAAATCACTTTTAGCAACATTTGATTTTGTATTTTAAGAAAACAAATACTTTTAATTCAAATGAAAGCAAAATTTCTTAAAACTCGTATAGATTTGAGACATACATTGAGTTGGAAATCATTTTTTTACAGTATTTTAACCACAAAATTATCTCAACTTAAGTATAGTTCAAGAATTTATATATATTTTACTTAAAGTAATGAATAAAATCTCTGTTTAAAAAAACCTGAAGAATAATCTTTTTGAAGAATCGCTTATATATTCTCTAATCTCTTAAGTATATCTTTGGTTCTCATGAGTACCGGTGCTCTGTCTCTATGTCTCGCTTGTCTTTGCGCTGAACACACATACAGAGCGCAGGGATGTGTCACACATATCACGACCACCTCTGAGACCCTCTTCTAAGACTTTCTGACAATTTATTTTTGGTTATGTCTCGAAACGCATAGATAAACACGATTTCTGTATTGAATTTCACTTTTGAAATCATTTCATATAATTTGCTTAACTTTTCACTAATAATTATATTTAACATAATATTTTTCAAATTATACTTTATTATCTAAATAGCAAGTTCACTATTGATATATAAAACGTTTGATTTAATTATATATTCAAGTATGGCTAGTATTTAAATAGCCACCCATACAGTGTTCTGGTTCATTTTAGCAATAAAGTACTAATAGCTGGAGTTTACTAAACCAGTGATACTTATCTCAAATGGCATTTAATATGATTTTTATTGTCGTTTTTCACCCAAAATCGACCCTTAATTGCATTTAATTTAATGTGTTTTTGTGTGTAGTTTTGCACATAAACTATCGTTTAAACTGTTTATATAATTCACGTGTGATTTATTTGCACATTTTCATGGCACCGGGAGGTGCACTATGGAGGTCTACGAACTCCATACCACATGCATTATAATTCAAATATTAGACTGTGTCCTTTTTAACCCCATAGGTTATCCGGGTTATTTGGAAATTATTTTTATTCATGCAATAAAATTATTGTGCTATATATGGCAATCACGTATCAAACTATTATCTTAACCCTGGTCATAAAAATAATCCTAGTGAACTCATTCAAATATTAGCCATTTAAAGACATACTTATATTTATTTTGTTTTATTAAATATAAGTTTAAAGTATAGTTTAGAAATTTGCTATAGCTGCATTATTTTAAATTATTTATACCAATAATCAATTAATAACTATTGATTTACTTTATTTACTATAAATTGTAAATGATCATGTAACTAACCAATGTCTTATCTGATTTGTATTCAGGTGAGAAGCCATACACGTGTACGTGGGAGGGCTGTACGTGGAAGTTCGCCCGTAGCGATGAGCTGACCCGACATTTCCGCAAACACACGGGTCAGAAGCCCTTCAAATGCCAGTTGTGTCAGCGCTCGTTCTCCCGGTCCGACCACCTGTCCCTCCATATGAAGAGACACTGACCGACACACCCCTGAGCACCCACCTATACATCTCATCGCCCGGACATTACACCGTCGCGTCAATTTCGCAGTCATTTGTGTGAACAGAGAAAAGACTTATTATTTTGTTTGATATATAAATATATTTAGGATTTAATGGAAAGTTATTTGTGAAGACATTCTCTGGTATTTCATGAAGAATACGAGGGATCTGTGTGTGAACTACCAGTGCTGGGGGTCGGGTGCCCTCCTATCAGCTTTGATATCAATGATTCAGACATGAGCTCCCGATCCACAATCCCTGTCCACACAAAACACCAACTCAATTATATTTATAACAAAAATATATTTGTATTTTTTAATTAGCTTTTTATTATTTAGTATTATATATGAATATTATTTTTTGATTGTTTGTTACATTTTATCACAATTCATATTATGTTCACAATTGAATACTTAATTCAATTAATCATTTTATTTAAAAAAGTTTTTTCCATTTTTATTATTATATTATTTGATTCATATTTTTGTTAATATAATCTCTCTCTCTCTCTTTCTCTCTCCCTATATCTCTCTCTTTCTCTCTATCCCTATATCTCTCTCATTCTCTCTTGAATCGCACACAAAAACACACACTCATGAGCCAATAGCGCCGGTGTTTTTAATTGATTGGGTGCTGTGTTAGAGAACCAGTGATTACCGGAATATTCTGGTGTTTAAGACATTTCGCCAGAATATTCTCGTTTATGTCTCAACAAAATTATCTATTTTAGGGTATATTTTAATTGAATTATAAGAGAAATTATTATTATATATATATAGTTGTGTGCGAGGGATACCTAGTGGTGGACTAACCACCCGGCCCCACTCCCAGACACTTGTTTTCGCTCACATAAATATTCAAACTAATGATTTGAAATATAAATAGTATAAATAAATTTTTAAATAATGATAAATATATAGTATATAAAGTATATAAGTAATTATTCAATTAATAGTATATGAAAAAAGTAACACATAATCTGTTTTTATATTTAAAAATAATAGTATACATTAATATAAATATATTTATGACTTTCTCTCACTATTTTCCATTTGTTTGTAATTTAAATAAAACAAAATTTTTTGTTTCAACTTTTTTTAAATACAAATAACTGTTATCCCAATGAATGCTCAAAACAAAACTGATTGACTAAACAAAAACGCAATTGTAATAATAATTAACAAATAAATTTACAAAACAAATAACAAAAATGTGACACAAAAATAACATTCAAATAAAAAGTTAGAAATTATTTCATATTTTTACGGAATATAATTTGTCCTGAATTTAACTTTTAATTAAGAAAGGTTTTCAATTGATATCAAATTAATTGCTCATAATTTTTAAATTAAATTATAAAACATTTTCACCTGTACCTCCATTTGTTTGAAACTATGTATCAAATATTACTGATATGTTCATCACATGTGTGTCCATAAAGTTTATGGCATAAACCAAAACTTTATTTAAAAAAGTTTTTACACAATATTTCCCTTTATTGTATTATCCGATATTTGTGCCTGGATATCTCGAATACTAATTTTAAATATCATAAAAACATTTCAATTACAAATGACTACAGAAAGTAAATTAAACAAACTTCACATTTTTGTTCACTAGTAGTGGTTTAGTAAAAGTAGACTTTGAGTACTTAATACTTTTTTGACCCTGAATGAATAAACTAAATTAGATTATACACGACTGTCTTGTCCAGTGATACCTGTGCTGCCAAAACATGTAACAAACAAATGGAGATAAAATAATAATTCAATTGTTTTCTCATTATTTTTTTCAAAAGTTTTGTTAATCTGTGAATAACAAGCAATTCATATAATGGAAAGTTGATAAAAAGGGACTGGGAGGGCAGTAAGATTTTTTAAAAGGATTAACAGCCACGAAAAATATAATTTAACATGCAAACTTTCAATACTACTTAAACATAATGTTATATTAATTGATCCAATTATTATTTGTGTATTAATACATAGCACACAATTTTAAAGTGATATACCCCTTTATGAATAACTGACCAAGGTGTGAATTGCATTTGTTATTAAATCGAGTAAATAAAAGCCCTTAAGAGTACAATTCACTTATGAAAAACTCAATACTATTTGATTGACTGTTTTGATTTGAAACCCAATACTATTGTAAATTAGTTTTTATTGGATTTTTATTTGGAAATATGTCTCACATTTTCAAACTATTTATTATTTAATTGTCTCGTATATCCTAAAACTGATAATTCCTATATTTTCTCAATATTTGTCTCACATTTATTTGTTTAAACATTAATTTTCTTAATTATAATCTCATGTTTTTTCTTATAAACTATTTATTATTTAATTGTCTCGTATATCCTAAAACTGATAATTCCTATATTTTCTCAATATTTGTCTCACATTTATTTGTTTAAACATTAATTTTCTTAATTATAATCTCATGTTTTTTCTTATCAATTCATTTCTATTAATATTATAAATAATTTGAAATGAAGTTTCGAGAAATTGTTTGTACAGTAAATGACACAAAAATACATTATAAATAAAAATTATTTAATATAATATACCGTCAAGTGTTCACCATGTTTATTATTTTAGCACTCTAATCATCAAGCTTATTTTAAAAATATTCTGACTATTTATCAGATTATTAAGTTATATAATTCATGAAAAATAATATTAATTTTAATCAAAAATATTTAAAATAACTTATGAAAAACTCCAGGGTCTGTTTTGTGTTGAATGAGTATGAAACCTTGGATGATAATTGACTCATTGGTAATCAGATAATTACCTTGTTCAACACTTATGTCAAGACTCTTGACTCTAGAGTAATGGAAAGGCTATTAATGGCTATTCATATGTGATTCAGTGGTCAACCGTTTGACGAGAAAACCATTCATTGATTCACAAATATAATTACCCTGGTATTGTGTATTAGGTAATTTGTTATTAATGTTATTTATTATTCAAATATATTTTTATACACTATAAAATAGTTATGAAATGTTACAATCAAATCAAATTTTATGTATAGTTTTAATAACTATATTAACTATATAATTTTGCAAACTATATTAATGATAACTGTTTATAACACAGTTGCATTTATGTATTTAATAATATCTAATTGTTTGATATAATTAAATCTAAATCTTAAACCAAAAACACAATTAAATCTTAGGTTTTTAAATTAACACTAATTAATGAAAAATATGTTATAAAACGTAAATAAACTTAAATATTAAGTAAAATAAACTCGGATATTAAAAATCACAAATAAATACAAATAGTTATATAAGCATTGGAGTCAGACTACCGGTGCTCTACCACCTCTGACATAACTATTCTTTGCAATCCTTCACGTCTAACCACTTCATCATCTCTGGACACCTGGTAGTTGTATACAACCGAGTCATCAACCGTAGTATCTCTAAGTGTATCTCCCGGTGCTGATCGATCAGTGCCTTAATCTCTGTGTCGTCCATCTGATCCCAAAAAGACAACAAAATATATCATTAAATCTTACGAACCAATTATCACTAAATCACGGGTCAATCCGAAATCAGTACCAAAGCTAATCAAGTGAGCCATACCTGTCGCACACTTTTCCAGTGCCCGTCCGATCCCTTTCCACTTTTATCCTCTTTCTTACCGACCAATCGTCTCAACCAATTGCTGACATTCTTCTTCTTTTTCTTCTTCTTTGGCGTCAATTTCTTCTTTTTAAGCATTTCTTTCTCACCAATAGTTGGTTTTGTCTCAACTCCTGTCCCATTGTCTGACTCCTCTACCACTTCAATGGCATCCGAGTCCTCATTGTCTTCATTGCCATCGACCACTTGGTCCCCAACATCTCCATTATCTTTATTATCTCCAATCACTTCATCGCCCAAAATGTCTTCTTTATTTCCATTGTTTTCATCGACTTCATTGTCCTCAACATTACCATTACCTCCATTGTCTTCTACTGTTACATCTGTCAGTGTGTTACAACTGCCTCCACTGGCATCCACTTCATCGAATCCTTTGGTGTCATTATCTTCAGTATTACTACTATTAGTTACCGATCCGTTTAGAGCTAACTCTTCTCCGGTTTCTTCGGCCACTGTCTTAACGCATTCATCGCAGCCATAGATTGGCACCGATTTCTCCGAATTCAAGATAACCGTCTTTTGCTTGCGTTTCTCTTCAATCAAATCCATAGACAACTGTAGCACAGATTGTGGTATTTGATCCGATGGTGTCTACAAGACATTTGAGATAAGAAACCATTTGATACTTAATAACAGATAATTCGCTCGTTTCTCACGGATTTCGGAGAATCAGATCCCTGTGTCAGTGATATGTCTATCGATGTCTCAAATGGGAGTTCAATCAAGACTTCTTTGTAACTGTTATCATCACATTTACCACTCTCCTGGTTATTATTTTTATCGATAGCCTTTTCCTTCACGTCTATTAGGTTCTCATTTGAAGGACTTCCACTTTGATTATCAATTGCTTTATCAATGACAATGTCTTTCACACCACAACTCAATTGATTTAATAGCTGTTCGCATTCATCAATGCTTTCAGTTAACTGATCCAAGTCTTTGTCAATTCGTTTCCAATTAGACTTATTATCAATGGTTATGTCTGTAAACCAAACACAATATTATAATAATTACCTATTTATTGATTACTTCTTATATCAAACCTTTCGATTTGTCCACCAATTGATTATTGAGTCCAACCGTCAAATTCACACCAATCTTCACTTTCTTAGCGTTAGATTCAGTGATTGGATCCGAAGTTTGTGTCCACTTTTCGGCCATTCGTTCAAAGAGTTTATTCAACTCATAAACCGAAAACTGATCCGACGGTGGATTCGTTTCTTTTGGTTCTTCAGTCGATATCATTGCTGTCATTGGATGACCATTCGTGGGATACTTTGCTTTAACCGCCGTTTGTAGCGATATATCCATTAGAGTCATCGATTGTCTGCTCATATCAAGTGTTACCACGTCTTCCTCATCGCATTCATCCATCACTTCCAGCGATGTCTTCGGGAAGAAGGCATTCATTGGTCGATGTTTTTGTGGATAATTTTGGACATCACCTATCAGTTGACTAAGACTTGAGTCCAAATATCGGATTCCAGTTGCGAGTCGTTGGAAACCCTTATCCAGAATCAAATCCAAATTGGGTTCCCTTATCACCGGCTCCTTCAGCACCGGTTCATAAATGGCATCCGTAGTGTCCATGGATTCACTCGTCGGGTGAGACCTCTTACGATCTCTGGAGTCGGTTTCCCGTCTATTATCTCGAGACCGCTTCTTTATCTCAGCCCTCCTTGGGATCACATGAGGTGTCATAACAGTCCCCACCGTCTCCTTCCTCCATGTCTTGGGCTCTTTAGTGGCCAAGTCTTTGGTGGCCAACGGTTCCAGTTGTGGACGACTCTGCGGACCAAATCGTCTCATTTTGCGCTCCAATACAAGAATCTTGAAGTCGTTGGCCTCCAGTCGTTGGGAAAACTTAACGCCAGCGCTCGAGCCGTCCGGTGCCGTCATCACCGAAAACGTGGTGTTCCTCCACTCAAAGTTCAAGTCTTTGTCATCGCTTATGTCGAGCTCGAAGAGGATCTTCTGACAGCTCGTGTCGTAGACTCGGATGAAACACGTGTTGGCGTCAGTCGTTTGGGTGACAACGCATAGGATCTTCTTGTAGTCAATGGACCACTGCTTCGCTTTCTGTGTCTTTGTCCACAACTGTACTAACGATGACAACAGTAGTGTCCATCCGTTGCCTAAAACTGATGACAACTCTTGTTTCTTGTCGGCCGATAAAGAGGACGATCTGGTTGTGTCTAATGAGTAGAATTTATGGACAAACTTTGATGATAATTGATTCATTGGTGGTGTCAGTGATAATGGGAAGTGATTACAATGTGTTTAACATGTGTTAAGTAAATGTTTGCTAAGAATAACGGAAAGGCTATTAATAGTAATGGCTATATATGTATGAATCAGTGGCCAACCATGTTATAAAAAACCATATACTCATAGGTTCATATAAGAAATGACCCTGGTATTTTGTGTACTGGACATGAAGTATTGGATATGTGCTGGCTATTCAAATTCAATACAAATAAAAGGGGTCAGAAATATAGGATTAATTAATTAATTACAGAATATGTTAATTATTTTTGACTAATCGTCTGATAATTCATTATCCAATCATAGGCTATGTATTGTAAATCTATGGCTAACTTTCGCATACTTAATGACAATTAAATGCTAATTAAGGGAGTCTTAAATACAATTACATTTTATTTCATTTTGATTTTAAATTATTTAATCTTAGTGAATAAAAAATATTGTATTTTGATAATTTATTAATAAAACATTTAATAAATAAAATAATTACCCCGAACATTATATTTGTGTACACAATTACCCTGAACATTATATTTGTGAATATTGATGACAAATTATTAATCACAGACTTGTTATAAGTTGTGAATTTGATTATCACTTAATTTGAGTGCATTTACAGAAATGTCTCAAAGAATACCGAAAAGACCTGTTTATAGACGGAATGTATCATCGGTTTCATTGGACGCACAGTTAGTTAAGAAATTGTTGTCAGTATTGGATAAGAAATGGGAACCACTGTTGATATCATCGGTGCAGTTGTGGCCAAACACACGAAACCAGAAGCAGAGTTCATTCATATTCTCGAAGATCATGTGTTTGATCACCGATACAACCAATGCTGACGTGTGTCTCATCCGAGTCTATGATACGAGTCTTAAGAATATTCTCTACGAACTCGACTTAATGCAAGACTTTAAGTACAAATCGAGTGGTGATTGTGATCACGAGTTTGTGACAAAGGATGGTAAGAGCACTGGTATTAGATTTGAGGCCTGTATAGAGTCGAGTGAATTCAAGGTACAAGTGATTGGTTACCAAAACACACGTAACCAACGATTGGCACAGAATCTCATCACTAATGTTGGAGTCATTCACCAAAATATTAAACAATTTAATGACATAATGTTGACTGAATTGAGGCAATTCAACCAATTTAGGAGTTCCCATAAGAGTCAGGCGCCGATTAATGTTACCACTAATACAAAGACTGAAAAAGAGAAATCTAGACAGTCTATGAGTATAAGAAGTAATAATAACCATAAAATTTGTATTCATTTAAATCATTAATTTCTCAATATATAGGTTACTTGAATAAATACAAAGGTGATCCAATGGTACCGGTGCTCTCGAATCCCCAAACGAATGGCAAAGGTTTACAACCGATAGATATCTCATTGGAAGCGATTGGTGAACGTAACGAAGATCTGAAATCAAATAAACGATCGCCAATTGATTTATCACTGAATCGGACACTGAAAGTGGACAGACATGACATACAATTGGAGTCAGAAATAGTGGTGAAACCGAATGGATCTGTTGATGAAAATGAAGGTCCAAGAGATGACGGGTTGAGTAGAGGTATTAGGAAAGGATTGATAATAGAAATAAAGAGTTTGCAGAAAAAGATGTCACATGTATTCACTGAATTGTCCGGTTATGTGGACAACAACTCGGATTTCTTTGCCAATAAAACCGCAATCAGACAAACGACTAAAAATATTGAGAAACAAATGAATTGTTTATTTAGTTTATTAGATCCAAATGATATTATGGCTTTGATTGACAGACCTGTTGATGAAATTGTTGTCAAAGTGGTTAATAAAAATAGATATTTTACATAAATCTCTCTCTCTCTCTCTCTCTCTCTCTCTCGATTAAAATTCAATTGTAAATTAAAGTACACGAAAATTGAATCAAATTAATTTGGAAATTATTTTATTTTGATAAATGAGTAACCATTTAACCATAACCATAAGATTGTCAACACTAATTTTGTAATTAAGTTATAACAAATGTGAATTGAAATTAATATCTGATTTATTTATTTGAACAAAATGTCATTTTATCACAAACAATAAATTAAAAGTAATTTTACTTAATATCAATACAAATACACAATTCCAAAACATACAAATGAAAACAAATATTATATAAATATTATATAATATCTTTAACATTTTATACTTAAATATCATTTTAAAACAAAATTCTCAATAATAAGTTATTTTTAATAACTATAAATACAAACAAAACAATATATAATATAATATATTTATATTATAAATTATTGAAACTACCGGTGCTTACAATTTCCTTAATTCTTATACCGATTTGAGACAACACTTCATTCATTGGACAATTGATGGCAATAAGCTATACATCCGACACATAACATCGTACATCCTCTGGAGCTCATACCTGTTTCAGATTAACGCCTTTCCACTCACTCACCGATTCTAGACTTGATTTGCGGTTATTTTGACCACTTTTTCCAACAAATAATCGTCGAAACCAACGACCAAACTGTCCCTTTTTGATAGACTTCCGATTGGGGACTAATATCGGAATCAGTGCTTTGGTATCATTGATGTCCTCCATTTCCATTCCAATGGTATCTGAGTTCTCATTACCTTTGATAACCTCCATGTCCTCAATATCGCCGACCAATTCATTTAATCCCAGATAATAGCCATTGAATTGTCTCAAAAGGCATTTGAAACGATACCCCTCTTCGAGTGATTCAAAATTTTGTGGTCATTTTGAATGCATTTCGTGTTAAGTATAACTAATTTAAATATAATGAACTCATTTGATAAATGTTTTACAAAACAATGATTTTAGTCATAAATGAAACTCAAATGTGAATCAATGGACACTCATTGCATGTAAAGCTTATTGTATTGACAAATACTATGACCCAGGCATTACTTAAAATCAACTATCCAATCAAAATAGTCTAAATATTTGTAAAATAGTTTTACAAAAGTGTAACAAATTGTTAAGACATAATTAACACTAACAGTAAATGGTAGTTTATAATACAATCAAAAATTGTCAAATAAATTCAAAGAATATTTTTTTGTAGAAAATCCTTTATTAAAACTAATGAATGCTATGTTTTATACCATAGTATTCACTGTATGTCTGAATTAGGTTTTCAATACAATAATAAATTTTTTGTTTGTATTAAATGCCAAATACTTTGCTTTTGCTGTGAGAGGGCGCCGACACCTTCACTTTATATGGTTCTTCGGGATGCACCAGCATTGTTGGCACCGGTAGTCCTGTCTCTCTGTCGGACCTAAGAACCAGTGATTACCGGAATATTCTGGTGTTTAAGACATTTCGCCAGAATATTCTCGTTTATGTCTCAACAAAATTATCTATTTTAGGGTATATTTTAATTGAATTATAAGAGAAATTATTATTATTATTATATATATATAGTTGTGTGCGAGGGATACCTAGTGGTGGACTAACCACCCGGCCCCACTCCCAGACACTTGTTTTCGCTCACATAAATATTCAAACAAATGATTTGAAGTATAAATAGTATAAATAAATTTTTAAATAATGATAAATATATAGTATATAAAGTATATAAGTAATTAATAGTATATGAAAAAAGTAACACATAATCTGTTTTTATATTTAAAAATAATAGTAAACATTAATATAAATATATTTATGACTTTCTCTCACTATTTTCCATTTGTTTGTAATTAAAATAAAACAAAATTTTTTGTTTCAACTTTTTTTAAATACAAATAACTGTTATCCCAATGAATGCTCAAAACAAAACTGATTGACTAAACAAAAACGCAATTGTAATCATAATTAACAAATAAATTTACAAAACAAATAACAAAAATGTGACACAAAATAACATTCAAATAAAAAGTTAGAAATTATTTCATATTTTTACGGAATATAATTTGTCCTGAATTTCACTTTTAATTAAGAAAGGTTCTCAATTGATATCAAATTAATTGCTCATAATTTTTTAATTAAATTATAAAACATTTTCACCTGTACCTCCATTTGTTTGAAACTATGTATCAAATATTACTGATATGTTCATCACATGTGTGTCCATAAAGTTTATGGCATAAACCAAAACTTTATTTTAAAAAGTTTTCACACAATATTTCCCATTATTGTATTATCCGATATTTGTGCCTGGATATATCGAATACGAATTTTAAATATCATAAAAACATTTCAATTACAAATGACTACAGAAAGTAAATTAAACAAACTTCACATTTTTGTTCACTAGTAATGGTTTAGTAAAAGTTTACTTTGAGTACTTAATACTTTTTTGACCCTGAATGAAAAAACTAAATTAGATTAAACACGACTGTCTTGTCCAGTGATACCTGTGCTGCCAAAACATGTAACAAACAAATGGAGATAAAATAATAATTCAATTGTTTTCTCATTATTTTTTTCAAAAGTTTTGTTAATCTGTGAATAACAAGCAATTCATATAATGGAAAGTTGTTAAAAAGGGACTGGGAGGGCAGTAAGATTTTTTAAAAGGATTAACAGCCACGAAAAATATAATTTAACATGCAAACTTTCAATACTACTTAAACATAATGTTATATTAATTGATCCAATTTTTATTTGTGTATTAATACATAGCACACAATTTTAAAGTGATATACCTCTTTATGAATAACTGACCAAGGTGTGAATTGCATTTGTTAATAAATCGAGTAAATAAAAGCCCTTAAGAGTACAATTCACTTATGAAAAACTCAATACTATTTGATTCACTGTTTTGATTTGAAACCCAATACTATTGTAAATTAGTTTTTATTGGATTTTTATTTGGAAATATGTCTCACATTTTCAAACTATTTATTATTTAATTGTCTCGTATATCCTAAAACTGATAATTCCTATATTTTCTCAATATTTGTCTCACATTTATTTGTTTNAACTATTTATTATTTAATTGTCTCGTATATCCTAAAACTGATAATTCCTATATTTTCTCAATATTTGTCTCACATTTATTTGTTTAAACATTAATTTTCTTAATTATAATCTCATGTTTTTTCTTATGAATTCATTTCTATTAATATTATAAATAATTTGAAATGAAGTTTCGAGAAATTGTTTGTACAGTAAATGACACAAAAATACATTATAAATAAAAATTATTTAATATAATATACCATAAAGTGTTCACCATGTTTATTATTTTAGCACTCTAATCATCAAGCTTATTTTTAAAAATATTCTGTGACTATTTATCAGAAACACAAAAATACATTATAAATAAAAATTATTTAATATAATATACCATAAAGTGTTCACCATGTTTATTATTTTAGCACTCTAATCTAGTTCGAATAAAAATTTTTATAAGACACTGATAAATAGTCTAATAATTCAATATATTAAGAACTTTTTATTGTAATTAAAATTAGTTTTTATAAATTTTATCGAATATTTTTTGAGGTCCCAGACATTTGTGTTGAATGAGTATGAAACCTTGGATGATAATTGACTCATTGGTAATCAGATAATTACCTTGTTCAGCACTTATGTCAAGACTCTTGACTCAAGAGTAATGGAAAGGCTATTAATGGCTATTCATATGTGATTCAGTTGTCAACCGTTTGACGAGAAAACCATTCATTGATTCACAAATATAATTACCCTGGTATTGTGTATTAGGTAATTTGTTATTAATGTTATTTTTTATTCAAATATATTTTTATACAGTATAAAATAGTTATGAAATTTTATAATCAAATCAAATTTTATGTATAGTTTTAATTATATTAACTATATAATTTTACAAACTATATTAATGATAACTGTTTATAACACAGTTGCATTTATGTATTTAATAATATCTAACTGTTTGATATAATTAAATCTAAAGCTTAAACCAAAAACACAATTAAATCTCAAGTTAATTTAACACTAATTAATGAAAAATATGTTATAAAACGTAAATAAACTTAAATATTAAGTAAAATAAACTCGGATATTAAAAATCACAAATAAATACAAATAGTTATATAAGCATTGGAGTCAGACTACCGGTGCTCAACACCTCTGACATAACTATTATTCGCAATCCTTCACGTCTAACCACTTCATCATCTCTGGACACCTGGTAGTTGTATACAACCGAGTCATCAACCGTAGTATCTCTAAGTGTATCTCCCGGTGCTGATCGACCAGTGCCTTAATCTCTGTGTCGTCCATCTGCTCCCAAAAAGACAACAAAATATATCATTAAATCTTACGAACCAATTATCACTCAATCAGTACCAAAGCTAATGAAGTGAGCCATACCTGTCGCACACTTTTCCAGTGCCGGTCCGATCCCTTTCCACTTTTATTGTCTTTCTTACCGACCAGTCGTCTGAACCAATTTCCGACATTCTTCTTCTTCTTTGTCGTCAATTTCATGTTTTTAAGTATTTTTTTCTTATCAATAGTTGGTTTTGTCTCAACTCCTGTCCCATTGTCTGACTCCTCAACCACTTCAATAGCATCCGAGTCCTCATTGTCTTCATTGCCATTCACCACTTGGTCCCCAACATCTCCATTATCTTTATTATCTCCATTCACTTCATCGCCCAAAATGTCTTCTTTATTTCCATTGTCTTCTTCGTCCTCTTTGTTCTCAACGTCTTCATCAACTTCATTGTCCTCAACATCACCATTAACTCCATTGTCCTCTACTGTCATTTCTGTCAGTGTGTTACTACTACCTCCGGTGGCATCCACTTCATCGAATCCTTTGGTGTCATTATCTTCAGTATTACTACTTCTGTCACTATTAGTTACCGATCCGTTTAGAGCTAACTGTTGTCCGGTTTCTTCAGCGACTGTCTTAACGCATTCATCGCAGCCATAGATTGGCACCGATTTCTCCTCATTCAAGATAACTGTCTTTTGCTTGCGTTTCTCTTCAATCAAATCCATAGACAACTGTAGCACAGATTGTGGTATTTGATCCGATGGTGTCTACAAGACATTTCATATAAGAAACCATTTGATACTTAATAACAGATAATTCGGTCGTTTCTCACGGATTTCGGAGAATCAGATCCCTGTGTCAGTGATATGTCTATTGGTGTCTCAAATGCGAGTTCAATCAAGACTTCTTTGTAACTCTTATCATCACATTTACCACTCTTCTGGTTATTATTTTTATCGATAGCCTTTTCCTTCACGTCTATTAGGTTCTCATCCGAAGGACTTCCACTTTGATTATCATTTGCTTTATCAATGATAATGTCTTTCACACCACAACTCAATTGATTTAATAGCTGTTCGCATTCATCAATGTTTTCAGTCAACTGATCCAAGTCTTTGTCAATACTTCGTTTCCAATTAGACTTATTATCAATGGTTATGTCTGTAAACCAAACACAATATTATAATAATTACTTATTTATTGATTACTTCTTATATCAAACCTTTCGATTTGTCCACCAATTCATTATTGAGTCCAACCGTCAAATTCACACCAATCTTCACTTTCTTAGCGTTAGATTCAGTGATTGGATCCCAAGTTTGTGTCCACTTTTCGGCCATTCGTTCAAAGAGTTTATTCAACTCATAAACCGAAAACTGATCCGACGGTGGATTCGTTTCTTTTGGTTCTTCAGTCGATATCATTGCTGTCATTGGATGACC